AGTGAAAGTTCCAGCAAATATGACTAAAAGATGTGTTTATAAAAGTTACCTACTGCAGCTTTAATGAAGCCATCCTCCCACTGCTCTATCCACGAATAGACTCAGTTTCTTTAAGATCTTGATTTGATCACTCCCTGCTCTTGCTCAGGCTGCTGATCTTCACAGGGAGTGACTGAATTCTAAAATATATTTGACCATTTTCTGGCTGAAACCGGGAGGCTCGTGGGCCACTGAATCTCTGGATTAGAAAAATTCATAAATCTGAGGTATTTGTTCCCAGGAGAGTTGATTCTTCTTGGTGAGTTATTTTCTCAGCAGGAGTCCTCCACCCAACCTGTGTATTTCAGTGCGTTTTAGTGGAACACCACAGAGCTAGGGCCCATGAGACCAGGCAACATACTGTGGACCTGTTATACAATCAGGCCGGTCTATGTTGAGAGATTTCCTAGCCTTCGATGCCAACAACAGCACAGTCCTCGATTCGACAATTAAGGGCAGTCTGACATACTGGTATGTAGCACAGATCTGTTCCTGTGGTGTAACCTAAGTCATGGCATGGGGCCCACTTGGCATTACTCACATTTTAATGGTTAGTAGAGCTGAGTATGTTAAGGTGAGCGCAAGTTACTACATGTGCACTCAGCTAAATACTTAAAGCTGACTCATCAGAGTATGGGGGGGTTGAAGAATAATCCTTATAATGTTTTAGGATAGGGAGCAAGTTTCGACATGGCCCAGTTTAGACATTTTGGTAGCTGTTTTTGGTCAAAACAAGTCATCAATACTGTACTTGGTAGCGTAACTCCAGGGAATCACAGCTGCTGATTAGGTTGTTTCTTCTTAAAAGTCGGGGTGTTAGAGAGTAGAGGCACAAGATCACGCTCAGATGACTCAGCTAGTCACAAGAAAAGCCAAGAGGACACAATGATGCAGCAGCTAGCTTACTCTGTGACTTACTTTCAGTGATCCACTTGTTTGGAAATGGCTTTTTTTTTCATTTCCAGTTGAAACCAGAGCAAGGTCTCTATCATGAGTCATCACCGCGGGCGCCCAGCAGGCTCGAACTCCACTGTCAGAAGAGAGCGTTTAGTACTTGTATGATAGTTCACAGTATATTTAGCTGTAACTGTAGCTGTTTCCTTTTGTCTTTGTTCTGCAATCCCTGCTAGCAGTCATGTATTCATATATTATTTCAGTTTGTTTAATTTATAGGGAATTAGACAGGGAAGGAATTAGATTAAAATAAAAACAGGTTCAACATAAATTAAATCCAGAGAATAAAAGTGGGTCTTTTGTGGGACAGTTTAACCCAAAATCAAAAATACATAATTTTCCTCCTACCCCTATTTGTCCATCTAGATAGTTTTGAACTACACCCACCAACCATAGTTGAACCATTGACAGTATATATAATGGATAGAGCTTCCAGGTCTGTGAAGTGGAAGTGTTTTAAAATGTGTGGCCGTGACTTAGAGGCAGAGTGGGTCGTCCTCTAATCGGAAGGTTGTTGGTTCGATCCCTGGCTCCTCCTGCCATGTGTCGAAGTATCCTTGAGCAAGATACTGAACCCCAAATTGCTCCCGATGCATAGCATGTGAATGTGTATGAATGGGTGAATGTGGCACGTAGTGTAAAAGCGCTTTTGAGTGGTAGGAGGTACATTTACCATTTACCATTATCAGTCGTCATTTCGAGGGACCATACCAGTGGAATGTCTTTTAAGCCTCTTTATTACAAGTGCTGTTTATTATTATAATTTTCAAATTGTGTCGGATTTTACCTCAGTAGAAGAGAGAAATAGGCTGTTATTTGTAATTTTCTCTATTTCCCTATAGGTATATCCTACAGTGATGTTTGAATGATGTATGTGCAGAGTTTGACACAAGAAGGATGTTCTCACAATCATCTGCTGAAAGTGGAAAGTTTCTCTGTGCTTGTTGAAAATCTGATGTTAAAGGGCGGGGCCTACCAGCATGATTTGTGACACCACAAATCATTTGGAAGTCAACCCTGCTCCAGTATGCAACTATGCAGCAGTTGGTGAACAGTTCTGGTGAACAGTTGGCACCTTGCATCATCAGTGTATAAATGTGCGTGAATGGGGTGAGTGACTAGAAAGACTACAGTCCATTTACCATTTACCATGTAGAAACTTGAATTCACCAGTGCACATCCACTGAGAATGGACTTAACAGTTAAGTAGAAGACATCTTGTGTCCAGCAGGAAAACTTTAGAAATTAACATATTGAGCATAGCGTTAGTTC